GATCTACTTGCTTTCTTGATTTTCTTTGTTTTGGGTCTTTATTAGCACGTTCTGGAGAAGTATTATGACCATTCTTTGCACTATCAGTTATTTCTTCAATATCAGGACTATCGCAACTTCCATTTTCTTCACAAATTTTCACATCAGATGTATCCATACTGCTATCAGCAATTTCGCTACTGTCATTAAGTTGTATATCACTACTGCCTGATAGATTTTTATTATCCTTAAGGGCAGAATTTTTCATAGTGAACACATCGTCATTATCAGAGTGTATTTCAGTTATGCTTTCATCAAGACATTCAACATCTGAGTTATTACTCTGTTCATCAACTTCCATAGCCTCACATGATGTGTTTTTACACTTATCTTCAGTCTTAGACACTTCACTAAAATTGTTCATCTCACTGACACCCTCAGATGATTTAGACATTTTAGAGCCATTTTCTGACTCTGACATTTCACTCCCTTTAATTCTACTTTGTGTTATCCCATTCCGTTCACTATTTTCAGATTTTAAACCCCTTTCTTCAATTTCAACTTCCATTCTAGGTTTATCCTCTTCATCTTCTTTTCCATTTGCCTCTCTGTCCTCTCTTACTACACTACTAATTTCTTTTGACACAAGTTTGGATATATTAGTATCTGCATCAATGAATTCTTCTTTGTCATTATAATCTCCATTAACCCCATTTGGAATCACATCTGCAAAACATAAAACATTTTGATATAAATAAAAATCTGTTTTAATGTTAAGTATACATGTTACTTAAATATTATATGATAAATGAAGCAGACTATTAGTATTTTTACACAAAACTAATTATAGAATATTAATTACATTAGTCGATAAGTCAATGAAATATATTTGTTATTGACAATTACAATGGTATATAATTAGGCAAAAATAATATATTAATATCTTCTATATGTCCACATGATAAACTATACTTTTTAAATGATATCCAATTTCAATTAAATATTATAAAGTATTGTAAAATAATGCCCTCAAAAGGGATAAAAACCTAATTGTGGTGTCACTTTTCAGTAATAACAGAAGAAAAACATAAAGTAAATACAAAAATAAGTATTCAAAAAATAAGTAATCAAAAGGGTTGTTCTAAGAGTTTCAAACAGGGGCAGACCATACCTTTGAGAACCTTATCAGGACTGGCCTGAGATGAGTCCTTAATAGGGGGTTCTTCCAGCGTGCCTTCCATGGGGCCACCACTGTACAGTTGATCTAAACAGTTAATAAGAACACAGGAATAAGCGGCTCGTGGCGACGACGCGTTTCATTACATTGACGATGTGAACGCGAGGGCGGGGAGAGAGAGAGGGAATTTTTAGCGGGGCCGAATTTTTCAAAATGGCGCTGCGAATTCCGTACTCCTATTTCCTTGTTCCCATAACCAACAAAGTTTGTGGTACGTTGCTTTCCAGTCAACGCGTTGCCGAAATACATTCGTTTAGTCCGAAAAAATCTTGGCACACGCAGTTGTAAAAGTGATTAGAGAATAGACAGTCACCCGTGGATAAAAATGATCGGATGAGCGAAGTCCTGTGAAGTAGCTTGAATGGTTAGCGTCTCTCAGTCAGTCACCTGCACTCGCCAGCCACCGCGTCCGAGCGCCAGCCAGTCAGCCCTCCGCCGTACCTCTCCACAGTCAACCTTCACAACCTACCAACCTACACCTATACCTACAACTTACACATTGAACTTTCGCCTTTCGTATGCATCCACAGATGTATAAACATACATGTAGTCATACGCACACACGACCTATCAACTCGCCATCCATAGGTGAGCGCGCGAGCGCACAACCTTCCGAACTCTATACTACATGTCGGACAACACGCCAACCACCTACAGAACAACCCTATGACCTACCGAATCCGATCATGACAGATTGATTTTCCACAACGATACTGCACTTAAACAGATTTTCCTTACAAATATTCAATGATATAAATCTATGTGACTTGGAAACTGCGAACGAGTAAACATTCTAATACGGATTGATGTACGTGACAAAGAAGGAACTAGATAAACGCGGACCATTTTGTCAGATTATCTATATAGATCTGATTCACCCGATCAACGTTCTTATTCAAGGTTTTACTAGATTTTTTCGAGTTACGGTTTAAATTCATATTAAATAGTTTAAAATTCCATCGATAAATTTGATTCAATATATCAAGTACAACAAATCTGAATTACAATCTTTCTATGAATCCATTTGAAGGGCGCAGCATTTCTCTAAAAGATGCTGAGTATATTTTAACCTACACCAATGTTCATCTTGATGCAGCATGCATCATTGTTGAAAGTGTCAATAATACTATTTAAAATTTGGTAAACGTAAAAAAAGAATTTAATGCATAATCGTAATTGAAAATATGAGGAATTCCATTCAGTATGCTCGTTCGATGCATGTCTCGTGCTACTTAACTCGCTGTCCACGAATCCCGGCAGATCTATGAGGTAATGGAACGCGTACGAACTCTATCCGTCTCCTGTCACCAAGCACAAATATACGCACCTGACCGCTTGCTGTCCTAAACGATTTTCTGATACCGCGACATTTTCACAACCTGCAATCTTCAGTGGCGGCGGTGGAGCTACGATTTGTCCTTATACACACGATACACGGTTTATTCACAAAACCTGTAAATAGTGAACATTCATCGCTGAAAATTAGGCACCAGAGGGCAGGCGCAACGTTGGAAACGTTAAAAAGTTATGCCCAGGGCCGTCGCAAAATCATGGGCTCTTTTTACGAGGATTAAGTACAAATAAAACTACAAAGAGTCATGGAACAGAAAAAAGAATTTCATGATATATATTTCATCTTGACGCTTCTTAATCATTATTTGACTATTTTCCGTATAAATATCATTACTTTCATAAACATCGTATAAAAAAATAGAAAAAACAGATTTTTAGAAATATTATATGAATTTCCTACTTCGATAAAAGTAAAACAATGAAATTGTTTAAATATTTCTGTTTATCTTTGGTTTCTTCGTTTATCTTAAAAAAAGTGAGCATTATAAACAACACAAATTGTTTAAGATACGTCAAACACAAAAGAAGATTATGGTTAAATTACTTTCTATTTTAGTATATTATAAATGCTTTGAAATAAAAAAATATACAACTATATAAATTAAAATTTAATAATTGAAATTAAAAATATTAATACATAACATTTTATTTACTCTACGGAATAAAAATCGTGATTCTATCGGAATTTTAATCATTTACATACAGCACTTTTCTTAGAATTTTACTTTGTACTTTGCTGATCATGCACTTAAGTAAGCAAAATAATGGTGTAAAATCATACCACTCAAAGAATAAAACACTCTGTCTCGATATATATAATTTCATATTAAAATAAATTATTAATGATAGTCTTCGTCATCGAACAAATGGATTGAACATGAAAATGATGAAAATAAATTATATTATAAAATCTACTTAACAATTTTCAATATATAAATATTATTGAAATATTTGATGAAATTTATTTAACTATGCGAACGTTTGTAATTAATAGAAATCAATATATTATAAATAAGTCCTATTATCATAGCAATAATAATCCGTTTAAATTACAAATTACTAGAAGAATGTAAACATTAGTATGTACGTTCAAAATAAATTTCCATCGAGACAATTTAATTAACAAGAGATAAGAGGAAGTTAAAAAGTATGGGGAATGCGCAAGGGAATTGAGAGGATCGACACGGCCCTGGTTATATTGTGTTATTCGGTACCACAACTGTACAAATCATAAAATCCAACAAATCAATTGCAAGTTCTTTGACGTTTTCATAGAATTAATATTTTGTTTTTATCTACGATCAAAAGCTGAAACACTCATGTTTACTGATTTATTGAAATTTAGAAAGCTGCCGCCATTTCTTCATAAGGGCTGGCTTAACTGTCGAACAGCTGCCGTGGTGGTCGCTAGCCGATCGCGATTATCCCCCCAAAGAGGACTAATAATCGAAACACACACACATCGCAAATGCCGCGCTATTTAAATTCACTGACCGTTCGGAGCACTGATAAATATTCGGCTACACACGCGACTCCTTCGACACTTGATATACACCGTTTTTATATCAAAATTATTCACATATACTTTATGTTTATTTGGGTTGACGTCACTGATCCTTCTTACCTTCGTCGTCGAAAACTGCCAAGATGGCGACGATAATCACGTGACAGTAAATTTTATGACGTACGCGTAATGTTAAAGGGACGAAACGACCAGTAGCGTTTGTTATATATAGTCACGTGACTAGCTACACGTGCACATCCAATGAGAAGCTCTCCCAAGAATAAGGACAATCTGCAATTGCAACAATGTATAGTAATAGGGTTGACTAACAAGCCCCCGCCCTTTTGTATAGGTTCTTTAGGGAGACACTCCTCATATGGTTTAATATCTAAAAACTTATTTTGTTACTTTTATAAATATTACGTATAAAATATTTATTATTTAAACTATATATATAGTATACATTATATATTATATGTATATATATTATATAATATATTACATATATAAAACGACGCAAACATTTTTATTGCATAGAATTATTTTTTTATGATATTAAAAACATTACTTTATTTATGTGCAATTAAGCACACAATTTTAACATTTTTAATAAGTTATTATTTATTAAAAATTGTTGTTTGTAAAGTTGATTATATTTATTTTTTTAATACTATTATTAGAAAATAAGATTCTGTACAATAATATTTACATTTTAAATATAAATTTGTAGTATACCTAAATATACAAAGGTCTTCTACTAAATTTTAATTTATGTAAGTCTGTTATAAATATATATATTGTTATTATACCAATCAGCTACTGTATATATTGAAAATGTATTTTCAATATTTTTTAAAATGTGTACAGTGAATGTTATCTTATTTTATATATTTTAATTATAAAAGCATTTGAAGTACACAAATAATGTTATAAGTCATCTTCATCATCATCATTAAAAGATAATACAGCTTTTTCTTGTTTCACTGTTTTTATTTTTTTTCTTACTGGTCTATCTGCTATATCTGATTCTGCTTTTGTTATTTTGTTTTTCCTAAATATAATTCTCTTAGATAAATCTGCCGGAGCGTTAGCTTCCTCTACAATATAATATATATGTAGTTTATTTTTCATTAAATTTATCTATTATCATAAGTGTAAATTATACAATAACCAAACCTTGTTCTTTCTTTTTCTTATACTCTTCTGCTTGTTCTTCAGATAAATGTTCATGATTCAATACAACTACAATAGGCTTTTCTTCATCACGTACTTCTTCTTCATTATCTGAATCTTGTGGTAATACTTCTCTCTGTTTTTGGTACATTATTTAAAGTATTGTTCATGCTGGTTATCAATAGGTACTTATTATAGTATATTTAATGACTTAATGATAAATATCCTCAACTATGAATAATTATTAATATACATCTGCATTATAATTAATAAGCTAAGAATTGAGTAAATATTATTATATAATGAAAAATAATAAAACATACTTTTGTATCGATCGTAGGTCCTTCCTTATACCCAATTTGTTCTTTTAATTCACGTAAAAATTTTGGCTCATTTGGTTTTATGTATGATACATTATGTTTTTTTCTTGACATTTTGTTGATATTTTCATATATTGAAGATCAAAATATAACCTAACTTAAGTGTCTCACAAAATAATACAGGCATAAACGTATATATTTAACATAGATTGAGAAGTAAGATCTATCTAGTAAAATTCACTAGTATGTTAATTTTGATTGGTTGGTACAAAGGAAAAATTATAGGAATTTCGTATGTAGGTTTATTTATACTTTTGAACACAAATATTATATTATATAACAAAGTATTTTTTAAAATATATACGTTAATCTAAAATGCTGAAATATAATATTTAAAAATTGGAAAGTAGACTTGCAGAGAAAATTGTATAATATAACAAAAAATTACATATTTGAATTTTATTATTTTCGTACAAAATTTTTGTTTATTTTTGGATTTTATTTCGTTGTTTCGTGTAATTATAGGATAATTGTATATTTTCAACTTCGAAATAATACACTTTAATAATTTAGTTTTCTTATGATAACGATAATATTACTATTCACGTTTGCCACAGTTTAAAACTGTTTTCAATCAAATAAATGGTCGACTACGATAAAAATTTTAAAAAGATTTAAATAGTGTCATAAACATTACGATTTTTTATCATATTGTCCTGAAATCTCAGTAAAAAACCATTCGTTGATCAAATCATAACTTAGTTAACCAAATTTGTTGGCAATCATACATATCCGAAAAACTTTCAAAAACGGTGGTCCATTCCTTCATCATTCGGCGACAATATAATACTAACTGTCACGATATAAAGCTGAATATAAAGGTTTAAATGCGAACAAGTTCGACGTACGATACGTGTTAGATACCTCGTTGTCATTCAGGATTTAATATGATTATGCGAGTATTTTTATTAGAATATAATTTCCAATGAAAAAGATAATTTACAGATGTGTCACTTCGGAATTATTTAGTGCCCTTAATTTCCCATCTGAATGACTAGATCTACGATGTCGAACTTGAGTATGCGTACTGATAATATATCCACCTTCATCCGGTCGACTGTGCTTTTCTAGTTGAATCACTGGCATGCATCGGGGTGCTGGCCCGTCTAAACATTCACAGCTCAAACTAGCATCGAGTTCGCCTTGATATGGCGGAGGTATTAACAAACTTTCGGTAGATTTGGTGGGCTGAAAGTGTCTGTTGGTGTTGCCTGAATACATAGTACTACTGCTTGTTCTCCTTTGTACAGTACCAGTCGGCGTTTTTGCTCGTCCATGTGCACCCTTTCCTGGTCTCTCAGCACTATGAGTTTTTATTGTAGCTGTATCTAAATAACCATATCCGAAACCATAGCCACCGAACGCCTTGGTAGTCAGATTGTCCCAGGACTTTGGTTTGGCGTATTGAAGGCACGGTGGTGGACGTTGATGTATATTTGGATCCCAATAAAGGGTATCTGTGCTTAGGCTTGTTGAACAAGATGCGACGCTTTCAGCTGCGGTTGATATGTCACTACTAGTCACAGAATGCAGACTATGTCCTGACGTACGAGAACAATTATGCGTGTTATGTTGTTGTTGCTGTTGCGTTTGCTGTGACTGATCTCGTTGCACGTGGAGATGCTGCACTTGTTGCTGCTGCTGCTGCTGCTGTTGCTGATGATGATTCTGTTCGTTCCTTGCTCTTCTTTGTTTTTCTCGACGTCTGCGACTAGGAACACAATTTGGATCACAGCATGGACTGGCTAGGTCATATGCATCTAAACTGCCGTTGTCTGATTGTTCTCTACGACGACTGGCGCTTGAGATGCAAGCAACGCATAAGTTATTTTGTGGCGACGGATGAAGGGGGAGTGGATCTCCACTGGTATTAGACTGCTGTTGTTGTTGTTGACATGATTTGTGCGATTTTGACTTAGCTGGCGTACTGTTCATTCCGTTTGCCTGGTGATAACTATGTCGTGATGAAACTCCTGATTCACTCGACATCTTCGAGAGGAAATGATGATGGTCACTTCGTGAACGCGGGGGTCCTACGGTTACTAGGCAAGCAGTGTTCCGAGGAACTAAACATGGCCGTCCATCCGGAAACTATAAAAGCATTCGTTATTTTTTCTGAAGTTTCAATAATTAAATCGATGCGAAATATAAATGATGCTTTTAGGATACCACGTTGTAGAGTAGCAAATGTTCCGTAGACGTAGCTGGCCGACAACATTGAATCGTAGACGAATTGAAACTTGACGATGGTGATGGCTGATTGGGGTTATTCGTGATCACACTGTTAGGCGTTCTCTTGCGTGCTGGCAGTGAATGGGTTTTCCATCGACCCATGAGAATAGACCGTTCTCTTTCGCAAAGTCTCTCTAATTCACCGAAGCGTGATTGGAGAGCACGTTGTAACTCGATATAACGCATATGCAGTTCCACCTGAAAAAAGATCGTTAATATTACGTCTTCTTAAAATTGAAAGTGATTATCAGTTATTAACCTTCTTGATATTCACCTTTCTTACGCAGTCTTCGAAGGACACAACCATTCGCATTCTGGTATCACAGTTCTTTATAAAATTGACCAATGTTTTGTGATCCGCTCTGTCCATTTCGTGGCCATTTATCGAAAGTATCACGTCACCCTCTCGCATACCTGCTTTGAACGCTGGTCCATCATATTCCACATAGTCAACGTACGTGACCATCTCGATTTCCTGTTCCCTCTTGTAATGTATCCCATAACTCTGTGCAATTTCATGTAAGTCAATTAAAATTTTTATAGTTAAACTGAATATCAATTTCTATGGAAGTTGAATATTCCAGAGTAATTATTATTTTATTTTAGCATGTCTTGTCTAACTTAAACAGGATATGAGAAGATGAGCGGGTATGTTACCTGTAACGTGAAACCGTACGTGCCATTTTTTTTCTCGACGATGATAGTGCGACGACGTCTATCTTCATCCGCTCGTGTTACTCGATCTGACTTTGATCTTTCCAGCACAGCCTGTGAAGGAACACAGTAGCACGGTAAGCACAGTAACAAGCAGAAAATAAACGAAATTTCTATTTCATTCTCTAAGACTGCATACTTTAACTAACGAAACTCATGTTTCGATAAACTAAACGAACTTTACTAAACTTCTACCGAGTCTACATCCTAAACGTAGCGTCGCAACGAAAACCACGTAACCCAAACATTTAATGCATTTTTGGAATATTTGCGCGGTAATCAGGATTAAATAAAATCAACAGACAACTACGGGCAGGACACAAAAACGGGTGCAAACAACAAGAACAATAACAACAACAATAATAACAATAACAAAAAATAAGAATCAGATAATAAGATTCAACACACGTTGTGCAACCCACAGAATTTCCTTGACCACGAAAAACAACTCGAAATGGGCAACAAGAAACTGCTCGAGGAAGGCTGTTTCAGCAAATAAAAATCATTCTTTCGATACACGAGTCGATGTAATAACATTACACATTCCACGACACCACTCCATTCCTCCTCGTCGCTGTTCTCAACGCCGGTTCGGTGTTGTTGCCCGGCCACCTCTGTATTCTGCGGCGAGTTGTTCATGATCCTTCAAAACGAAACAGACAAAAACAGGACCGACCAAATTATCCCTAAAGAAGAATATTCTCTGTACAAAGGATCACCACCTGAGGGGATCCTGTGGACGTGGTCGAGATGTCAAGTTATCAGGGCGTACACGCGCGCGTGCTACTTCACTTTCGAAGGTACTTCACTTTCTCGTTTCTCTCTCTCATTGTGCTTACATTTCGACAGGCGACGCACCAGCCAGCCAACCAGCCAGGCCGCGAGGTTAATGTGCGTTCAGGCGCGATTATATATGCTCTTTTATTGTTATCTTCCTTTCCGGCTGGTCGCCGGTTCCCAATGCGCCTGCTCGACAATATCGGCTTACAACCCTGTCGACGTTCGCTGGCAAGCACAGAGGGTGGCGGAGGAAAGAGAGAGAGCACGCGCAGTCTCATCCTCGTGATCCCTCCTCTCGAACGTTCATCGCCTTCCTTCGTTCCTTTCGTCACCTTTTATCACCCACCTTCTTTCCCTTCTTGTCCCTTCCCTTAGCCATGCTGGACAGGAATAACTTCTCGCGTGCAACGTCCTTGCTGTTTCCACATTAACAGGTCTGTTTCCTTGGGGGTCGTGTCAATGAACACTCGTCGAATCGAAGAAACTACAAAATTTTCCTCTTTTTATATCTACAACTTTTATACTTATCTTTCGCGAGTGATAATTTCATTGCTATTTTGTTGCATTCTCGAAAGTGTCCTTTCTCATATCTCTACATCCAAGCGCTATACACCGACGAAGGCGAAAACGTTGCGCTCGGTCTGTTCTTTTTATTCCTTGACAACTTCCACTTTGGTACTTCGCCGAACCTTGTCTCAAACGACGAGAATAACGCCAAGACACTGTTCTTATAGCCGATGGGTTCTCTGTCGTATTTTTACGAATGCCTCGACAAACAGGGAAATACGTTGCAGACTAAAGAAGGGTGTAAAAAAGTGGAGAGTCATCGTGAACAAATCAATCGCTGTCTTTGTCTTTATTCGCTACTTCTTCTTCTTTTTCTCGCTACACTTTTTCTCAACTTTCTGCGTTTTGCTCTTCTCAATTTTCCGCGTGTCACTTTTCTCCATGGACACAGTGACTGTCGGTTTTTGTGCTTTCAAAGGCGGTAGAGGTGGAGGCTTTGGTCTCGAAACCGGAACATGTCTATGCAAATTAATCGTTCGTTTTGTTAAATTGCTACTTCTATTACCTAACATCTAGCAAGATCAGTAAAGAAGTGAAGAATAAATAAAATGCTTATAGTACCATTTAACGTTACATAGTTCCTCTTTTACGAATCTAACATGAACAGTAAATTCTAGAATCTTTTGTGATGGAAATATAAGTGATTTTTACTTGATGGTCATGTGTATTTCTTGGATAGATCTATCTTGAGTCACGTTGATCCAAATATTCGATTGTGTCTTCGGCCTCACGCACAGGTCTTTACCGATGCAACATTCAGCATCGTCGCGTTCTTCTTGAGCCTTAAGGTTTCTCTCCCAACATTCCTCCCATTTTCGTAAACGTTCCTTCTCTTCTGCCTCGCGTTCTTCTGACTGTTCCTTCCGTTTCCTCTCGCTGTGTTTATCGGATTTCTTCTTTCCTCTGCGCTTCTTCTCTGCAACTTGCTCCACTGTCTTTATGTTTTCAACATTCTTGACGTTAATCTTCTCCCAGCATGGCTCACTAATCGCTTCTTTCTGTTTTAATTTCGGGAAAGTCTCTTCTTTAATAGCTGGTAATTTCTTCCTCGAAATATTATTCAGATTGAGAAATGCACTGATGAATATCGCTTCCCATTGAAAAGCTATTAGCACGTTTCCAGTCAGGATCTTAAGTAACACGTCGTACGGATAGGCTAACTAAAAATTGAAGAAAAGTGGATCCAATGAAAATGATAATAAAGGATAATAGTATAAAAGAAATAACTGATTACCGAGGAAGTGGTCAGGATTCTCAGCTTTGGTTCATGCTTTTCTATCGTAGTCGTCATGTTCACGAAGAATTTTGTTCGGAGAAGTTTGGGTTACGAAATAGTGACAGTTTTTCGACGTTGAGTATTGAAACAAATGACTTTCTAAGAGCCAATTTCACTTTAATCAATACCTCGCAAAGTAAAAGTGAACGGCGTACATTCTAATTCGGTGATTCTTTTCACAAACTATTTTCAAATCGTATCAAAAGCATTGTCTTCCTTAAGAGACTCAAAGCTTCTATTATAAAATTTCTACGATGTATTTATCTCGAATTATGGTTGCTAATAACCATACACAGTTCATGCGACGTTGATAAATCAGATAAAAAATAAAATAAAATTGTACCTTCTTCTCAGTTCGGTTATCCTTATGTATTTAATATTCTATCCCTCTTATTTTATTCATATCGAAAGTAAGTTTCTCCCACTTTTCAGAAGAAGAAGCGTCCTGTTTCATTTAGATGTCCGACAGTTGCAAGTGTAATCTTTCACTGGACATCCGCACTTTTTCGTGCTTTCTTTGCCAAATAAATCGCCATGCCTTTTATACCCTTTCGACACCATCGGAGAGGAAGCACCGCAACAAGGTGGACAAGGATCCGGTTGTGCACATGGACTGCATTTTCCTTCTGAGATCGTTTGTTGACGACCGGAAGCACGTAATCCACTGAATACTTGACCAGTTTGTGAACAGCAACACGACGATATTCCAACAGTGGCTGCTAACTGATCTCTCCCCCGTGCTTTTGGCGAACACGGGGGACAGCTGAGAACGAGCAAAAAGATTCGCGTATTACTAAAAAGAAAATCGTATTTTAACTGTAAATGAAATAATTGTTCCTTTTTTAGACAACTATCGGAATTGAACCTGCGGTAATAAAACGAAATCGAATGCATTCGAGCGTGATAAAAATACATGAAAACCGATCTGGCTAAATTGCTATCACTTGCAAGCATTCAAATTGAACAACCGAACCTTTCATGTCTCACTCACATTGATAATCGATTCGTTACCATAGTAAATATTTTCAGTTATGGATGATTTAGTGTATTCTTTTATATTACAAATGTGAAATATCATTTTTTAAAGACGTAGAAAAATGTGAAACGCTGAAAGAACAGATAAATAATTAAATAATAAAGAAATAGGAATAAAAATATGCAAGAATGTCTAGAAAAGAGTTGAAAAATACACGAATGCCAAATGTGAGAATCAACTTATTGGTGCTGCATGACATCACATTCGACTTTATGGGATTTCTTATTAGAATTCGAATCATGCACACGTAAGTTTTCAGGTTCGTCACCATTTGTTCTCAAAATGAATGCATAAAACCCGAGAAAATGTTCGTCTTTCTGCAAAGGTGTAATTGCTTTGCAGATGAGTTAGTATGAAAGAAACTAAAGAGATACTATACAATAAAGGAAAAAAAATGACGACGCGTATAACACAATAGATCAAACTGGTCTACTCTGTTAGGTCCTAGACTATTAGTTCATTCGATTTAATCGCATTTAAAAGGGTTCCAAGACAACAAAACTGAGTACTTAGGAGATCCTTGACGCGAGGGACAGCATGGTCGTGGACCATAATCGGGCTGTTTATACTTGTCAGGCAATGGCGGACACGGGGATGTCTGAATGACCGGTGTTGGACAACAGGTTCTTCCGGCAGACTCGCCACTGCCGTCAATACACTTCCTCATACAGGTATACTTCAATGGGGTTGGCGTGTAGCAATCAGAGGGTATCTTTTTGCACTGAAAAACAGGACTGTCGTCCGCTCCTTTGAAAAGATACGGTTTTCTATTATGCGGAATTTGAAACTGGGTGATGATCTTCTTGCCGAAACAGGAAGCTCTTATATAAACTGTCACGTGACCGACGCACTGTCCTGTTACAGTTGTAATTTTGAACGTATTTTTAATCGTTTGACAGGGATTCACTATTTTGAAGACGTGCTGACTCAATGCGGCATTCAATATAGCCTTAGCCTCGATCTGGTGACTACCGACCAGCAACACATCCGGTAGTACTCCTGGCGGTAGTTTCTTATAAACGGACAATTTTATGGGAAAGGTGGTCAAAGGTCTTTGAAGAACCATCGATGGTAATGCAAATAAACAAGATTTGCCCTTCTTGAAAACTTGGGTATCGCCCTCGGAGCAACCACAACCGTCTGTTAGGACTTCTTGGCAAATGTCAACTGGCGGTAGGTTGAGAATCTGTGGATTTCAGTTGAAACGTAATTATCTTAGTTTATGAATTTTGCGAATGTAAAATAAGATATAAAATGAGATTACCATGAGATGAAAAGAAAGAAAATATGTAGAAAGATATTTATGAAAAGGTTATGGTACGGGTAATTTCTTAACGGTTGATTTGCGTGTTTAATAAATGTTTCGATTACTTGGAATGAGACGCAGGTAGAAGCTGGTAATAACTCGTCTTGCATGGCTCTTATTACCGGAATTTTGACTTTGTCGACGAGAAACTCGATCAAGAAAAGCTCCTGTTCATCTGCCATTTTGAACACGTTACGATATTACAAATTTCCAAACTCTATTCCCATGATTTGCTTAATCATTGTTACGTAAGATCCAACGTGTATTTATTTAGTAACCCTCAATTTAGATATTCTCATCGAGTCACGCAATTTCAATAATTTTGAGGTTCGAAATCAACGCAGAGGGCGTTGCGCGGCAGAATTCAAAATGCCCGCTTGAAAATACTCTATTGCGCAATAGAAGAAACACAATTAAATATTCGAAATATATGAATTTAATAACATTCGTGTAAACAATAAAATACGCCAAACTCGAGAGTAAAATCAACGTTTTCCAGGTCTAATCAAAAACAATTTATAAAAAAGCCCAGTCTACTCCGTTCACTTCTTTTTCTTCTTCTTCCTCTTCTTCTTGCCCTTCTTGTCATCGGTCTGCATTTCCCTAGTCTCGCATCTAATGGGTGGCCCTTTTTCGGGTCCTTTCGGCGTTTTCATCTCCAATTGTATATCCGACTTTTCTCCAGCTCCAACAATGCCCCTTTTTCCAATCCTCAGTACAAACACGTCGTGGTCAGGATCAGAAGCATCCGGTCCAGTGGCTTCAGATTCAGGCGCCACTGTGACCGTGGGCTTTTTATCCTGGCCCGTATCCAGGATTCCGGACACCTTCAGAACCACCGCCTTTCCGCACGGTTGCACTGGACCTCGACTTGACTGTATCAGTCCGGCCTGTTTGTGCACGTCGGAGCACATATCCGGTTTCGATCGCGACTTCGTCACCAGAGTCGTCTCGCAGATCTGTTTGCGACTTACGTTCGGTTTCAACGTCGCCCCGATTGGAACTCCGCATGGAGTGCAGGGATGTTCCTCCTTGATACAAACGCGACAAGGAGGACCATCCTTCAGTAATTCATCCTTGGAATCCCTGCAGACATCCGCGACCTTAGAATCAACGATGCGACATTTGTATACTGGTGACTTTTCGTTGCATTCGTCGCCCTTGAAGATATACGATGACACGGTCCTATCAGGTGGTGCCTCGAATTCTGTGACGATGGTTTGCCCGAATGCGGAAATCCTAACAAACATGCATATACAGCCGATCACGTTGTCGTTGTAAGTTATCGGAACTTCCCCTTCGAACACCTTCGGTGGTGGTATCATCTTGTGCCAGCATTGCAACATTTCTTTCCTTAATGCGGCGAAATACTTAGAGAGGTCCAGCTCTCCGTTACCCACCAACACGTCCGGTTTCACGCCTTCCGGCATTTTCTTTTGCACACATAGCTTGATGATTAAATCTAAGATTTTATTGATCACCGTGTACTGATCAATAGCGAACATCACGGAACGACCGGAGAAGAAATACTCGACGTCATCTGCGACTCCAGCTTGAGGTTGAAACATGGGGTCCACGGGAGTTATCTCTATACCTTTTTCTCCTGTAAAGTGGAGGAACTCCACGGATATAGTGGTCGGGACGAAGAACATTTGGTTGAGCTTTGCTAAACGTTCGCTGGTCATATGATGGATGAAGAATTCCAATAGGAAGAGGTACTGTTCTTTATTATCCAGGACAACTGTGTCACGGCTACCAAATTCTGGTACTACCCCAACATCCGGTTTGCCTTTTCTCTCCCTCGAAGACTTCTTTTTCGTACGATGTCTAAGCTCCGATTCGGGGCGAGATGACCGACTCTGCGACATCGGGATGGTCTGAATAAAGTGTCAATAATGTTCACTCATGATTTTCATCGACTAAGATTGTTCGCATTCACACTTTCGAATTTTTATGGAATTGCGACTATTAGGTTAGGTCATTTACATGCGAGAAGTTTGCCATGGAACCTGATTTCGTCTGTACAAGGGATTATCGATTAGTCGTAACTGTTTTAGATGAGGCGAACAACCTTGAAGAACTGGTTTCGATTTCTGCCTCGTAACTTGGAACTTTCGATCCAGACGTGATTTGGCGCCAAGATGATCAACTTGAAACCGAGAGGCGGAACCACATTCCCTTGACGGAGTTCTGAACGTCGACACCGATAAGCAACGATGTCATCTCGATAGAATAATCGTGGTTATCTTTATTTGCGGTGACAGACAGCCTGCAATCCCATGAAATTTCAGTGAATCACTGACTCGATGATTTTGAGTAATCTGTAAATCGTAATTCCACAAGTAAATATTCTGTAAAAGCCCATATTTCTTTCGTAAATATCAGGCGCGTGAAAATGTTTATGGTACGAATAAGGAATTATCTAATTACCATTTACGCGATTGCGCGATTATGTCATAATCGTTTTATGGTATAACGATCTAGTTTCCAGAGCCACCACCTCTCGACTATTATATAACCGATATTTCGCCAACCTTCGTGGCAGATGGAATATTTTACCATGGAAAACCGACTGCCACCCATAAATACGTAGCTAACCAGCTCAAGCCGATCAAAAGGACAGTGTGTAAGTTTATCGCCTTGAAAAATCCATATCTTATTTAAACATGAACGATAGCACTTTTTCACTGACATTCCTGAGAATTGGAAAATAAATACGTTTGTCATCGTTAAAAACCGTTACACCGATTTTCATAGAAAAATGAGTAACAACGAATTAACTTATTAAGTTAAGAAAAGATTTATTACAATGCTATTTACGTAAATTTAACGCGTGTAACAATTCGTTAATTTCAATGATGAATTTCGATGATAGTAGTAATAGCCTTTGCTTTGTTTTGAAACACGTAGTGTTTGAATATAGTACGCGACCATGAAGAACGTTATATATTTATCTCGCATCGTTTAATCGATCCCCCTCGGTTAACGGCATTGAAAACCGTGTCACAATTGAGTTAAATTAATCGCATTAGGTGAATGTTTGTATAATTGTTGTAGTCGACCCTTCAGCACCTATAGCGGAACTGGATTCCCGCACTTTAGAGAGATGGCTCGCAAAGGAGAAAGAAAGATACGTGGCTCCTCCTGAAAAGGATGACGGAATTGTTTATCAAACATTGAGTATTATGCCAAGATGGAAGCATGATCAAAAAGCACAGAAACGTTGGTACCATTTAATATCATAAATGTACACATTGTGATTATTCCATTCTTTTTATTTAAAAAGATTTGCATTACAAATGTATACTCAATAAAATTTGCAATGCAAATGTTTAATAAATAATACGATTACCAGTTTTTACATTGCGTTTATGATAATCAAAATTATTGACTTATAAGTATAATATTTATAAGTATAATGTTATCATTTTCCTTCAACAACGATGTGCAATAAAGTTGATCCTTTAGATTGTCTGAAGTACTAATTGCTTCCCACTTAAAGTAATAGGTCGATACATACCGGTCTAGCAATTTCAGCCAATCGAATCGTACAAATAATTGGACGTCCGAGAAGCAATCAATAACAAAATGAATCGTGTACGACACTAATTCGCTAATTAGTCATGAATGATTTGTAACCCAATTTCAGCGAGTCGTCGGAAAAATTAGTCTAATTGCTAATCACCGATCGATGTTACGAGCATCAATCGACTGTTCCAATACAAGCTTTGCTTCAGTCCTTTATAGAAGCTAAAAGAAAACAGAATTGTATTTTATTATCTACCAAACTTTTAACGAAAGCAATTTCCACTTTACCTTAAAATTCTTACTTTTTAGCTGTCTGCTTAATATTCCCGCGGTCACTACAGTATGAATTGTGGTACATCCGCAATAGAAGATTGAAGGATTTTGAAAAATATAAAGGGACTAGCGTGGAATGCACAGAAAGAGAAGAAAAGCTTGAGTAGGTATCTCTGTTATCTCTCTTACGTTTAATGAAAAAGATAGAAGAATGTTTCTCTTAGGACGAGCGTTGAACCTTGTGCTTTATTGAAACCACCAATTTGGTGGAAAGGTAAAACGAAAAAATCGGACGGCGTTTCAGTTGCAAATATAAATGACTATTCCTATATGAAATTAAAAGATCAGGATGAAGATGTGAAACTTAGTGAAAAACTTCATATGGATCATCCAAAGAAATATACACCAGGCATGATTTATCGATTAAAGGTATTACTACTATTAGGCATACATCCAAATCTTCTTTTCTCTATTAAAGTAACTTTCTTTTTGGACTTCCTACCTAACTGCCTTTAGCCTTTTAACAGCAGCGATCTTAAAAACATAAGAGTAGGGAAACAAAAATGTAAACAGTTTGTCAGCCACAGAATTAACGTGAGAACAGCTCATACGTGGAATTAAATATCCTGGATATTACATCACGATGTCATAACTATCTTCTTTTTCGATGAAACAGTCAGATACATACATGAGCTTTATTTCTTCAAAATTTCGTCAAAATTGTGAGTTTATTTCCCGATTTGCAAATGTCGTGTAATTGAAATCAAAACTTTCACTATCGTCAAAGTGAACATTTATTATTTCGGCTATGCTGTTATCACATTTCTAATAAAACGGAAAAGGTTAAGATCCATCTTCATGTAATATTGTGAATTTTGTAATACTCAGAGGTTCGAATTAAAATGCTTTCAAATATTTTTATGGTAAAAAGCACTAAATTATGACGATATTACATGGCAAGCAACTGCGCACAATTTGTTCATCTCATTGATGCGACCATGTTATGCACACGAGGTATCACATGTACTTTTCGTACGATATGATTCAAGGTTACGCGATTACGCATTGAAAAATACGTAACAGACGCAAAATATGGCGTTAGTGAAATGCGTTTCTTACACTAACACCATCTTCTTCGACTCGTGTGGCTGAAAGATGAATCATTGAATTTTGAACAGAATCCAGAAGACACGAGCATGAAGGACGCCCTCGATCGAGCAGACGCTTTTAAAGTTGTTCTTAAAACAGATGATATCTTGCCAGAAGACACACCTGTTGATAAATGTGTCTATGAAAAATATCGTATGTCACTCTTTTTAGATATATTTTCTTTTATACAAGTTGGAATGAGTTTTTACTTTTCTTTAAATAATTTGTAATAACATATGATTGAAATAATCTTTTTACCTTTCCTTGCAAATTCTTGAAATGATTTGTCATATATATTTTTTGATCGTATAACTTGAACCTTTTTTATCATCTTGTTAAAATAGTACTAGACAAATTATCAAAATATTGACATCTTCTTGACCTCATTCATAAAAAATGAGTTTATGATTATAATTTTATAAACGGTTACAAAACTTTTTCGCAGCACGTAATTATTGTGGATTGAAGGAGGATCAGGATGTGGTAACAGCTGACCCAGTAATTTCTAATGGTGATAATCGATGGCAGCCTCTTCATGAAGATATAGATTTTCCAACAACTGATCTTGAAAGACAGAAAGAATTACGAGAATTAACTAAACCATTTTTACACGATTTGCATACGTGGCATTCAAAGAATAAGCCAACAAAATTAATTATTCCCATTAAACATCGAGGAAAAAAAGCAATACCAGGAAGACGCTTTCCTCATTTGTAACATTTTGTTTTGGCCATTAATAAACCGAAATTTATCTTTTTCTATATTAATTAAAGTATATAGAAATAAAAAAAATAACTCAATAAAAATTGATATAAATAGCCGAAATTAAATTTGTATAGTAAAAATTAAAAAACAATGGACACGATCATGTAAAATGGTATTACACAATATTCCAAACGTTGAAAATACCTATAAGTAGGTTAAAATCATAGGCTTGTGATATCAAAAGAAGTGTTATCATCGTCGATAGTAAATCAACGACATAGTTATGAAACGTGGTGCACAGATGTGTTACAGTTTTCAGTTATGAAAAGTAAGCATCGACTAGTAAATTGCAGTAAAACGAATGTCTTCTATTAATGTGCTTGTATAATCGATTCTATGGTATATTCTTAACATTTTGATGTTTATATCACAAATTAGTAGCAAATGTACAGATATCTATTTTGTAGATTTAATTTGAACGTTACTATTAAATTACGCCATGGATATCCATGATAAGGTTATATTTCTTTTTCGCATGATGTTTGCAGATTCCTTAAACGACGCGGCTGTTTTATCCAGGAGAACTACATTGTTACGACTTTTCGGGATTCTGCTTGAAGATTCCTACAATTTATTTATTTTCATGAATATTCCAGTTTTTATTAAAAAAGAAAATAAATTCATAAATCAAGAAAATTTGAAAAAAATCATTACCATAACAAATTGGCCAGCACAATATGTATCGCATTAGCATTTACTCTCATTTATTAATGAATCAACACCACGTTCAATTGCACATCGCATCGTGAATTGTATGATTGCCTCAATAAAAATTCTTTAAGTATCCATTCCACATAAGTCAGCTTTATATGGAATCATATATTTTTTAAAGATTAGAACTAAAACTATATAGTGCAATATGTTTATATTTTTAAAAATATTTTACATCTTGCATAATACTGGTTAATATTATTACTATCAGTAACAGTTACGAGATTTGCTTGGTTAATGACATAATTGATTGACATTTCGATCGTTTAAATTGCGTCTATATATATATATGTGTGTATGTATATTTACACGTAGCTGCAGACATCCCGGTCAGGATTTCATCATGCGATCCTTAGCACGTGTTCATCAAACTAACTTAACGAGAAAACCCCGCCTCTAACGGTAAATGTTAATTTAAATACTCCAGGATCAAATTTTTTGTTGAATAAAAAAAAATGCATTTTAATAGAAAATTTTAAATGAAAATATATATCAAACCCAATAAATTCATTCGATAGATATTTTTTGTATGTGTAATTCTTTTTTATTCCTTTTTTAGTAATATTGAATTTTAATAATAAACAGAAAAATTGTTTTCATTATTCACGTAGTTAATTACGGCATGATTTTAAAAATAATGAAGAATGGATCAACAAAATTCGATTACTGATTGTTACGCAGGACGTGCGACCTCTGGCGGTTAAATGATGAAACGCAAGTAGACGCTCT